ACGAGGAAGGACTTCCCTGCCACTGCAAAGAAGTCGGCCGACACAGACTCGAAGGGTCTTCAAGGGTTATCGTCGCACATTAAAGGTTCCTCTTGCTGGCTGGGTTGCAGAATCTGGCATGGCTCACAGGCACGGACGGTACTTGCAATGTCCGCATCGATTCCGGGCCAAAAGACAGTCTGCTTCGCCCGTCGCTTGGTGGCTTCCACTCCTCGATGGCTGTTGTGAAGGCGGGTCAAGGTACGGCGGCGTAGGGCAGCAGAAATGACTACTCGTGGACCATACAAGACGAGGTCTCCGTCACAATAGAGGTCCTCGCGTATCTTCCAGTACGGGAGAAGCGATTCATGAAGGTCGTATCGGTTAGATGGAAATCCCTGAGACACACAGTCGACGAGCCGGATGTAGGAAGGGTCGGCCCGGGCTGCGGTGCGGAGATCTTCAAGGGTCTTGTCTGCATCCGGTGCTGTAGACTCTTCTGATGTGTAGACGGCCTTCATTGAGACTACTGACTTGAGGGATGCGGCAGTTGTAGAACACAACATCTCGTCCTCTGGGGTGGGGCGACTGACAGGGGCGCGGGACAGGGCATCCGGGATGCACAGCAGCTTACCCGCACGCCACACAGCCGTGAAGAGATAAGGCTAGAGCTTCTCTTTCAAACGTTGAAGGCGAGGATTCTCTACTGCATCCAAGGAGTAGTGATTGATAATAGGTACAAGAGGGCGATGATCCGTGAAGAGGGTGAAGTGCTGAAGTCCTATCAGGTAGAAGCGGCACTTCGCCATCGCCCAGACAACAGCCAACATCTCCAGCTCAATCGTGGCATATCGGGTCTCGGCGTCCGTCAGGAACCGGGATCCACACTGAATTAAGCGGAGTTGTCCACCGCCATGGTCCTGCAGAAGGGCGTAACCAACGCCGTAGAGTCTGGAGACGTCAGTCTGGACGACGGTGGGTAGGACTGGGTCGTAACAGGCGAGGACAGGTGGACTTAAGAGGGCCTGCTTGACTCGCTGGAAGGCCTCTTGATGATCTGGGGTCCACAGGAATGTCCTCCTGGGGCTCAGCAGGGGGCGTAACGGCTGGGCTGCGGCAGAGATGTCAGGTGAGAATTCAGCCAGCTGATTGACCAGACCCAAAAAAGAACGGAGGTCTGTCAGGTTGGCAGGGGTTGGAAAATCCCTGATTCCACTTAATTTATCCGGGTCCGCTGCGACACCTGATGTTGAGAAAGTGTCCCCACAGAAGTTCACTGATGGTGCGGCGACTACAAACTTGTCAGCGTTGAGGGTAATCCCGTACTTTCGACATCTGGTGAGAACTTCATATATTCGGGAGAGGTGGGCACAGTAGTCTTCGTCATGGAGTAAAATATCATCAACCACCTTGACACAATTCGTGACTCCTTGAAGGGCCGTGTCACCACGTTGACAGAATGCGTCGCCCGTAGCGGCAAATCCCATGGGGCCTCTGCAATACTGATATCTTCCATATGGTGTGATGAATGTAGTCAAATGCTGGTCTTCTTCGGCCAACTCGATCTGCCACATAAGGCGTCCATCGTTGTAAAAATCTTCGCCTTCGGGTCCACATTTCAAACAGCTGCGAAGGGTGTGGGTGAAGGGTGGGCTGGACGGGAAACTTGCTGGCTAAGTTTTGACAGATCGGTGGTGATCCGTACTCCACCAAGAGGTTTGGCGACGGGGACGAGAGGGTGGCACCAAGGTGAAGGTTCGTCTCCGGCCGGCTTGATGATTCCCTGAGCAACCATAGGGTCAAGCTCTTGTCTAACTAGCTCCTTGTAGGCGTGAGGAATCAAACGAGGGGTGTGGATGGCAAAAGGTGTGGCACTATCCTTAAGATGAATCTTCATAGGTGAACCCACCATCGGCTTGAGTGGTGTGGATCCCAAAGATTTCTTCGTAACCAACACGTCAGCAAACTCCTTGAGAAGGTAAGCTCTTGCATCAAAAGGGGACGTGTTAGTAGAGATAGGGAGTTCCTTCAACCTGTTGACATAGGTGACCTTCAAACTAGGTTTGGGGAATTCCTTGGAAATAATGCCCAACTCTTGACAATGGCCATATGATAAAAGCGGAGACGGGATCCCATCATGAACATCAATCCGGGCTGAGCAAGACTGCCTACCAAAGGTAAGAGTAGCCCAGAAAGATCCCAAAGCTGGAGCCATCTTGGAACCATCAACTGTCAGTTTCGTTGTCTGAGGAGGGGGCTGTAGGTTGCTCCGAGGGTATTCCCAAACTTGCTAAGTGTTGTGGACCAATTACTGAGACGTCAGCACCGGTGTCAGGTAACATCTGAAGATTGGATGACAAATTACCGTGAGAAATGACGACACTGGTGTGCTGGGGCGTCGTGTCTGTGGAACAATGTACACGACGGCAGAAACGACTGGACACAGCGTCTTGATGCTTGCCAGAAGGAGAGGGCGCACCAGCACTACCTGAGGATGACTTCTTGGATCCTTGGTGGTGTCCTTTCTGTGTCTTCTTACGACAACATTTGTCATAATGGCCCACACGACCACAAAGTCTGCACTGAACTTTGCTAGCAGGGCACTTGACTGTGTAAGCCCAGTGACCCTGGCGGTCGCAACTTCTGCACAAGCTTTGAGCAGCTGGGCACTGGGAGGCATTATGCTGTCTCGCGCAGCTGTTACACAAAGCTGCTGCTGAAGGTGTAGCTGGAGGGTGAGGGGTGGGGTTACCTTGCTGCTTCTTACCCTTTCTGTAGGAAGACACCGCCCTCACCTGGTCAGGTTGTGAGCATAAAGCTGAAGTCGCACACCTGGCGGCCTCGTACGCTCGACATTTTGTAACAACATCTTGAAGGGAGGAAGTGGGGTCAAGTTAAATGAGACGCTGAACTACCTCTTCATCTCGAATACCCGTTAAAATGATTGTCTTGAGTTGTGTCTCTTCACATACTTGAGAATTTCCAGGACAAACATCAAGACAGAAGACCAAAACATTTCCTCCACACAAGAAAACAACACACACAATCAAGCCGACCAAGCACTGAGAAACCATGGCCCAACCCAACACGCACCTGATGCTTGACCTGACGCTAACCTGACTCTGTCCTGCCGCTTCCTAGCCGCGTCTAGGCGAGTTGCTGCTGCCTGCAACTTATACTCCCTCACGCAAGCGGTGTTTAGCCACTGCACCTATTCTCTCCTCCTAAAATTCACTTCAATCCTCCCTTTATCCTTCCCCTGAACCTCCTTCCCCCCTGTTATCATGATCGTGATAGTGGCTAACGTGAAAACCTTAAGGATTCATATTACGCTCAAACGTCCACAAAACCTTCCGAGTCCCCCAGTGGAAACGTCCCCCGTTTTCTCTGTTTCCCCGTCTTTGTCTTAAGGGAACTTTGAATATAATCCGCGGATTTCGTAGCAGACGCTGTGTGTTGGGACCTGTTGCCATCCAACCCTTTGTAATCAATTTAATTTTGCTTTTGATAGCTGAGTCAGAGCATTGTTAGTGAAGATAATAGTAGGGAATGAAACTGAGTTCATAGTCTCAGTTTCAACGTCAGAGTGTACAGTAAATTAATTCATCGAAATAGAAGAAGGTGGACTCCCTGACCTATTTTGAGTGGGTGCCGCGGGCATTTCTGCCGTTACTAAGTGCCCGTCCCTTCATCCATACAGGTATGCCATTCCACTGTGTTGTAATTCGCCCTTCTTTAAGTGATTTGACCCAATTAATAGTTGATTGTGCAAGTGTTACAGTAACGTAGTTGATATGCTCTGAGGGAAGTCATATTTACGTCTTTAACGTCCCCTGAAACGTGATGTTGTTTTCTACCGTTAGTGAGTGCCCGTCCCTTCATCCATACAGGTCCCTAACGCAGCCTAGGCCGTGTCTGTAGCGTGGATGTTGTATCCACTATGTCTGGGGAGATGTCCGAGGTCCAGTAGGATCAGTTACCTTCGTGAGATCCGGCCGTCAGACACTTCAGACTACCTATGGCCCCCATAGCTGGCTCGTCTGGCCCTAACGCTCGGCCGGCGAGGTGACCCCGGATCACCAAGCCACACACCACTACCAGCCCCCATCATTGGTGGATGAGTGTCGAACTCAGTAGGGCTATTTGTGTGGTGGAGTTAATCCACTGGGATCTCCAGAGTTCGTCGGAAAGTACTCCATGGTGGCTGGACCCCATGGCTGTTGCTTGAGTATCACTCCTGACGACTGAGTGTTGTAATGGCAGTTGCCCTGGTCTTTATGGTGCTAAGTGACTATAAGAGTTATGTGTTATTGAGTATGTCCACCCAGTAGTGGTGTGAGTGTTATTGAGTATGTCCACCCAGTAGTGGTGTGAGTATGTTGAGCCTGAGGGCCTAGTACTAGATTTCGTCTGTTGGTACATATAAATTCTTTCTCCTAATTTCATATTAATGTTTAAATAAATTTTTTATTTGTATATTGTGTCTATTATTTACCTACAGTATTTACTGTTATTTCTTCCCTATTGCTTGATACTATCATTACATCTACCCACGAGCCTCCTTTCGTCACGCTACCAATGGTAATAAGTATGAGAGTAAAAGGAATTGTTACTGACACACAGGCCCTTATAAAATGGTGGCAGTTCAGGCCCTCATAAATGGTGGCAGTTCAGGCCCTCATAAATGGTGGCAGTTCAGGCCCTCATAAATGGTGGCAGTTCAGGCCCTCATAAATGGTGGCAGTTCAGGCCCTCATAAATGGTGGCAGCTCAGGCCCTCATACTGTCACTAGTATTTTATGTATGTATGTATGTACAACAAACCTACTTCCTAGTGTATGTGACTGTGCATGTTAACTGATATAATATATTGTTGGGATTCATCCTTACTGTATTTTCATACATCTGGCTGTGAAGATATTAACTCCAGTACGACAAGTTTAGCTTGATAGATTCGGGGGTTCAGGACAGCTGGGTGAGGTGCAACAGTGTTGCTGGAAGAGTTGAATCATCTGTGCATTAATAGTAGTGTCGGTTTTTTTTGTCATCAAGAACTGATACAGAAGGAGTCAACTGATTACAGTGTGAACTCTGGTCCGGGCTGACAAGGATTACTTATAAAGACAAATCTAAGTTGTCTTATTGGACTAGAAATACGGAAGGAGGAAGAGAAGCAGTCTTAGATACGTATGCTCACGCTTTCAGTCTCTCCTTATCCCTCAGAGCTTTGTATTTGTTGACGACTAATGCATTAATTACTCTACAGTACAATAATCGCTTCCAGAACTTAGGAGCATCAAATCTTACAGTCGCTCACCTCTCCAGTGTCCGATACACACACATACACACACACAGTGCGTCCACATTGCAAAAAAAAATTGTACCGTTAACTTTCTATACGACGGCCTCTAGCTGCTGGTTAGTCCATCAACAATGAAAACTTATGAGATACAAATTACTGGTAGTAGGTAGTAGGCAGCTACCAAACAGGGAGGTACTACCGCCAGGGAAGATACTGGAAGCATAATGTGCTGTCTAATGGTAGACCCTGCTGCAATATGGCATCACGAAAATTGTGACCAAGTCTCAGGTGCTGAGCTGACTTTCTACCTCATTTACACACAATTGCAGGATCTCGATTGTTTCTCGTAAGGTTGACAACACAATATACATAGGGCTATATTGTTTCTCACTTTTGATCCTTTTTCATTTTTGTATTTATGGTTCCTCTAAGTTTCTAATGGAGTCACGTCCTGGAATAGCCATTTGCGGCAACATTAGCGAGGAGGAGGGAAGGCGCTGAGAACTGGTTGTGAGCTGTCGTGAGGAAGAGGGAATAATGAGAAGAAAGTAAAGCATCTCTCTCTCTCTCTCTCTCTCTCTCAAGGGCTATGGAATTAACATCACCTATGCTCGTACTTTCTATCTTCACTTCATTCGTTCTGTAGTTGACTATCATGCTCTCCATCTTGTGACTATTCCGCCTAAACAACTCAACAGCCTTGAGGTAGTGCAAAATGAAGCCATGGGCATCATTCTAGGATGCCCAAAATCAACCAGAATTGTAAACATGAGGAAAGAGCTCAGGCTGCCTCCCTATCTGAGAGGATAGCTCTACTTAATACCATGTTTTGTGTCAAAGTTTTGAAGAACAATGGTCCCCAAATTACAGCTCAAAATGAGTTGATGTTCTATCTAAGTAATCCCGACCATCTCGCTAACCTTCCACAAAAGATTCTCTTTGGGGCGTGGCTTCATAAAAGTGTTGCAGATCTCTTGAAACTGAATGTCCCAATCACCCCAGACGAACCTATTAATGCCATTCCTCCTTGGCTGGATATATCAGTTCCTATTAATTACACTCCTGTTGGTAGAAAGCAAATGTTAAACACCGATGTAGCAATCAAGTTGAAGAGGAAGAATTTTTTCCCATCACGCCTTGCTGGAACTGCTACAAATATACCCACTTAGCCACGGACTGCCCGAACAAAAACACAAAATACTGCTCCGAATGCGGGGAGGAGGGACATACATTCCGGGAATGCAAAAGCAGTGTAACTCCTAGGTGCCTGAACTGCCAAGGGGACCACAGAACACTGGCAGCACGCTGTCCAGCAAGGAAAGCGATTGTAAAGGAAAGGAGGAAAATTGAAAAGGAAAGAGCACAGGAAAAGCAAAACAGGACCTACTCGGCTGTAACCAAATTAACAAAGGAAACAACTAAAGTTCCTTGAAAAGGTAGCCTCACAACCCCCAGCTCAACCTATAGTGCTCAACCTGGGAAGTCAACTATCGGTTAAAATCATGACGGCAATAATACACGCCCACCTCTTGAATATTGCCAAACCAGGATGCTTTGCTAAAAGGGTAAAGGAAATGTTTGCGGCAAATAACCTCCCAGACATGGAATTCCCCAACGACGTCCCCTCATCAGAAATCTTCAACCTGATCTATAAACCAGCGGAAACCACCAGTCAGGCGCAAGTCACCCAATCACAAGCCACTACCGACAAACCCCCCCAATCAGAAAGTAGCGAAGAGGGAATGGAAGAAGATGAAGAGGAGCAGGAACCCATTTCACAACATGAAACTGTTATACAACCTGAACAAGCGTTCGTATATAGCACCCCTAAAAAGACCAAAATGGGAATTGTGGCACCACCACCGTCACCAAGAAAAATGACTGAGAATCAGGACCTCGGCGAGGAAACCGGTATCAGGTTTTACACCTGCTCAGCCCCCCAAATACTCTCAACCGAGAGACTACTGGCGGAGATAAGGGAGGGAAGAGTAAAATATACAGTACATATACAGATACGAATATGGAAGATCACCACATAGAAACACTAATAAAGAGAGGAAGAATCCTGACCAAATATAATAGAATAGAAAAGGTGGAGCAATCCAAATACAGGAAAATTCGCCTCGACCTGCACACGGAGAGGAGGTCTTCAGGAGAACATCGTTCATCCAAAATGCCGCAAACAAGCTCGAGACATCACCATTCATAATCAACAGACTTAAAGTAATTCAACATAATGTCCTGGCCTGGACACATACAAGAGCTCACGAATTATACAACATATATCGTACCCTAGACCCAGACGTCATCATACTAAATTCTCATGGCAGGGATAATTCAAATAAAATCAAGATATTTAATTACACAGTATACCAAAAAAACAGCCAAAATCCTTTACAAGATGGAGTTGCCATAGCAATTAAATGAAGCATAAAACATAAAATCCATGATACATTCCAAGAAAACTTTCTGGCAATAGAAATTAACAGCACAACGGGCCCAATCATAATTGGCACCTGCTACCTCCCTCCAAGACGACCAATTTTTCCAATAGCAGACATGCACAGATTGATGAGGAGGAACATACCTGCATACTTTCTGGGTGATCTCAACGCATACTAGGACACCATACCAACAACGCAGTTCTGGCAGAAAATAAAGCACTTAATGGGAACCTCAAGCACACGAGTCAAACTATATAATAAATAGTAATCAAGTCAAATTAATAGAACCAACCGAACAAAAACCGGAATTTAGATCTTTCTGGAGTAAGATTTTTCAAATCACCAACGAAGAAAACTTAAACTTTTGCATGACCACAGAGAGGGAAGTATCCAACAATATGTCGCAAATAACCCATATTTGGCAACCGAGACCCACGATCGACCTGAATACACTGGATGACATGTCCCCACTAAACAAACCAATCACGGTGGACGAAATAGTAAGAACAATCATTAGCTTTAAGAACAAGGCTCCTGGAGTCAGCAAAATAAATAAACTCCCCAATTCCTCCTTTGGCTAAAATTCCTCCCCTTGGATTTGAAATTCCTCCCCTGGGAGCCAAGTGCCTCCCATTTGAGAATCACTGCTTTAAAGCATACACTTGAACACTATAATATTGAATGCAACACTGTCAAAGACTTCAGGCCACCTGGCTTATTGTATCATGAACTTTGTAATTACTACATTGAATCGGGGATGCTTGAGGACATTCTTGCTGTTTATCCCAAATTTGCTAGCCCACACTGATTAGTCTTCAATTAGAGTATGACGTCCAATGTATATGAACCACTGTCCTGCATGGCAGTGAACAGTGACATCAACCCACATGACTCTGACCTATATATACTGTTTATGAATATGATCTATTCCTTTGTGTATGATCCTCTGTCCTGCATGGCAGTGAGAAGTGATACCACCCTCAGTGTCAAGATCTGACTGAATTACTCAGAATAGGCAAACTGTACTCCAAGCTTTGTCAATAAATTTGTTAAAATAAAAAAAAATAAAAAATCTATCTGTGCATAACTTGTTTCTCCTTCCTTGCCCCTGCACGTAATTCTCTACCCCATATCATTATCAACTACCCCTCTTACCACCCACAACCCCTCTCACTACCCACCACCTCCTCTCACCACCCACCACCGTCTCCCACCACCCACCACCCCCTCTTACCACCCACCACCTCCTCTCACCACCCACCACCGTCTCTCACCACCCACCACCGTCTCCCACCACCGTTTCCCACCACTCACCACCGTCTCCCACCATCCACCACCCCCCTCACCACCCCCACACTCCCACTAACACACACACCTGTACTTTCATCTCTGCTTTATACCTGACGTGGTGGTTAACATGACGAAACTCACCGCCGGTTGTGTGCTCACCTAACATCTATATACCTTACTCTGCCGTGTACTGTCTCCATATTTAACCAATAAACTTTAAAATTATCGAGGAATTGAGTTACTTGATGACTCGTGTCATTTCCTTAGATGTGCTAGATCGTATGTGTTACACCCCATTTATTCATGGTGTCGACACAATACTCCCTCATATCGTTCCTGATGTCTTTTTACAAAACTCACTGGGTTACACCAACCCAAACTGTAACTATTACTTTCCTGACTCCCCCGAGTTTTGTTCTGGTCTCCTACTACCTCATTCCTTCTCCTTGATTACCCATAACATCAGCAGTATTCCCCTTCATCTAGATACCTTTTTAGATCAGTGTTTATCTTCTATTGCCCACAAATTTGATGTACTTGGATTCTGTGAGACCAAACTCACTAACGATATTGACCATTTGTATAACATTCCTAATTATAATAGACACTGCGTCAACACGTCACGACACAGTGGTGGTGTCGCCCTATATGTTGATATCAAGTATAACACTTCTGTAAGAGATGATTTAAAGGTTCAGGAGAAGTGTTTTCATTGAATTACGTAACGACACACGAAATATCCTAGTAGGAGTAATCTACAGAAGACCCCACACTAATGTAAGGAATTTTCTTGGTAAATTTTCTGAGCTTATCACTATCATAAGTTCAGAGAGGAAACATTGCTACATTACAGGAGATTTCAACCTTGATCTATTAAAATTAGAAACTGACACCTCAGTATTAGACCTTCTTGCTACCTGTCATTCTAAACTCTTCTTCAACACTATAACCAAACCCACTAGAGCAGGGGTTCCCCAACCTGGGGTCGCAGTTACTCTTGCAAGTGGAATTATTTATAACAATATCTCAGATCACTTCCCAGTTTTTGCCGTGTATAAAACAGCCACAAGACCTGAAAGGTCTTGTAGAGTCTCAATCCAATACAGAGACTACTGCACCGACAATATGCTCCTTTTTGAAAACAACCAAATGAATGCTAACTGGGATCTTGTCTATGCCTCCGACAACCCTAACGTGAACAGCTGTAACTTCTCTTGCATCTTCAATGCTTGCTTTGATGAATGCTTCCCGCTCAAGACTAAGTCAGTGAAAATAAGATAATGATAAAGGAAAAACACGAACTCCAAAGGAAATTTGCAAAAAGATCCATAACTTTCGATGATGCTTACCGAAGTATCAGAAATAGAGTAACTCAAGCAGTTAGAAACGCCAGACGTAACTATTACACAAATAAGCTCCAGTCAGCATCAGGCGACAGTAAGAAAACCTGGAATGTCACAAATTCTATTCAGAACAGGAACACTCAGCCTTCGGCCCCCCACTCAGCTTTTATGATAAATGATTCAGTTGTAACGGAGCCCTCCCCCATTGCCAACCACTTCAATGAATATTTTATTAATGTTGGCAAAAATCTTGCAGAGATCATCCCAGATCACCATGAGGAATTTAGAGCCTACCTGCAAAACAGACAGCAAAATGAACTGTTCTTATCCCCTGTCACAGCAGATGAATTACTGGCCATCATAAAAATGTCCAAAGATGCAGCAGCAGGCGAAGACAATATACCATTGAGCATTATTAAGAAAGTAGCCCATTTATTACTACCTGTTCTTCTACACATTTGTCACTCCTCCTTCACTAGTGGTGTCTTTCCGGATAAATTGAAAATTGTTTAAGTTTACCCAGCATATAAAAAATCTGGGGACAAAGGTCTCTTAAAGAATTACCTCCCCATATCAGTCCTCCCAGCCTTGAGTAAGATACTGGAAAAGCTAGCATGTAATAGACTAAATGCATTCTGCAATGCCAATAACATCTTTACAGACTCCCAGTTTGGATTTAGAGCTAGAAGGTTGACTGAGAGTGCTCTGCTATCCTTTACTAATGACATCTTAAATTCCTTTGATGACAGTTAGTTCACAGTCGGTATATTCTTGGACCTCTCTAAAGCCTTCGATACTGTCAACCATACCATCCTCCTTTCAAAACTTGAACAATACGGCATTAGGGGCCTGTCCCACAATTGGTTTACCTCATATCTGTCCAACAGGATGCAGTATGTTTGCTATAATAATCACCAATCTGACTCCTCGCCAATCTTGTATGGAGTCCCCCAAGGTTCCATTCTCGGTCCAGTACTGTTTTTGTTGTACATAAACGACATAGTCCACGCCAGCTCACTCATAAAATACAACTTATTTGCAGACGATAGTAATCTCTATGCCAGCAACTCAGACCTCCATTCCTTGATGAGAACTATGAACACTGAATTAACTAAAGTCGGGACCTGGGTAATACGTAATAAACTGACCCTAAATCTTGAGAAAACCCACTACACGATCTTTCACAGAAGAAAAAACTTACCTCCAGACTTGAACCCCCTGTACCTTGGTAATATAGTCCTCAAACGCGAACAAAATACTAAATTCCTCGGAGTTATTGTTGATGAGAAACTTAACTGGAGAAACCACATACAAGCCATTCACAGTAAAGTCAATAAACAGTGAGGTATCATGTATCACACTCGACAGTCACTCACTCTCACAGCAATGAAAGAAATCTATCATGATCTTGTTTACCAACACCTGATACACTGTCACACACTATGGGGGGCCTCTGGCTCTTCAAAAACACAATCTCTGGTTACTGCACAAAAGAGAGTTGTACGGACAATGACCTACTTGAAAAAAAAATCACACAAACGAAAAATTTGCTATATTGAAAATGTTAAAATTCGAAGATATTAACACCTACTGCTGTGCCCTCTTTGTTTACAAATCTATCAATCACTTGCTTGACAATAATTATTTCCAGTTCCGGAATAATCAGATACAACTTAAGGCACCCAGAGCTACTAAGACCACCCCCCATGCGCTCCTCTCAGTCCCAGACCTCCATAAAATATCACGGTGTGGTGTGGAGCAACTTACCCCCACACATCCCAGCAAAGACTACGCTCCCTTCCTTTAAATCATCTCTAGAAAAGTATCTACTGTCGAAGTATTAATATTTCTTGTAACACCTACTATATTTACAGTACCTGCTTTTATTGTACCATCAAAACCGTTTTATCGGAAATTATCATGTAAATAGATAAGTAATTACCATTGCAATAAACATATTTGCTTACTAGTCATAATCCTGACAGCTCTGTCCTCTTGTTCAACCTTATTACTGTACAACCCATGTTGTACTGCTCCCCAATTCTACTTATGTTTTTCAATTCCACTGTAATTTAAGTATAAAAAAATAAAAATAAAAAATTAAAAATTAAATAAATAAATAAATAAATATTGAGATGAGATGTTCTTATAACCACCATGCTATTGTACTATTCCAGATGATACTAAATGTTATATAATACTTCCTTGAGATAAATGTACTGTATAGTATATATCAGGTGCCTAAAAGAGAGCTCAGGTTCTCAACTGGCTCAACCATGTTAATATTGTTATTATTGTTGACTCTGTATCTGTGTTTTTCTGGATAAATAAACTGTTTCAATTCAATTCAATTCAGGTATTTCCTACAGTAACATCACAAAAAGATTTAGTCTAACCAGTGGTACAGGCTGCTAGGTGACCTTCATACACAACAGTGGTACAGGCATGACAGGTTATTGGTACTGTATCAAACAAGGATGCAGATGGTTATTGGGGATCTATAAAATGAAAAAAAGTTACAACTCTTGATCCAATTTTCAGAAACCACAAGAGAGGAGGGGCGGCGAGAACGGCAAAGGGCGAGGAGGCGGTGAAAACGTCAGGAGGCGAGAGCGGCAGGAGGAGAGGTGTCACAGGATATAAGACCGCCAGGAGACGAAGGATAATATGGAAGAAGAAAGAGAAGAGAAGGAGACTGAGGTGCAGAATAATGAAGAGGAAGTTAAGAAGCAACAGGAGGATGTGCTAAAGACAGATGATGACCTGGGAAACGTGAAGACTTTCGAAGACTTGCTTCAGGTGGTGGGGACGAGAGGCCGCTGGAATCTACTCCTCTTCCTCGTGTGTGCTTATGGTTAGTATTCCTTCCAATGCTGGCAGAAGACAGATGAACGTATGCTTGGCACAACTTTCATTAATATTTACATAAGTTGAAGGGTGAGGAGGTTGGTGTAATGGCAGTGCAGGTGATATTCATAGCTCAAGCTTGCGATGGTATTATTGTTTGTTTGTGTGTGACTTCATATTTTGGGTAGAGCAAGAAGCATTGAAAGGTTATTGGAGGAAGGAGAGAGGAGTATGGAAGCTGCAGAAATGGAGGAGGAGGCAACAGGTGGTGAGCGAGCTGACCGTCTGCCTGTTGTTCATCTATAAGTTAATGAGCAAAAATTTCTTAGATGGATGTACTAAAGAATAGAAGAGGTATTAGTAACATTGTACGTGGCTTAGATTTTTGTGTGTGAGTGTGTGTGTGTTCAGACTCGTAAATTCAAAGCATTTATGGACAGAATAATGCGTGTGTTTACTGTTTCGGGTTCACAAGCACAAATTTATGGGTACATGGAGCAGCATAAGAGGAGGCAGTACACAAAACAGTCATCTCTCTCTTGCAGCCACATACGTGCCGGCACACCAAACACTGTCTTACCAGTTCTTGGGTGCCACACCGGACTATTGGTGCCACATAGCGCCACTGGTGGAGGCCAACTGGACCCAAGAACAGGTCCTCAACTTTGCCATCCCAACCAAGTTAGTTCAGAACTTATACTCGTTAACCCATGTTGTCATATTTATTTGTAGTGTTTTGAGTGATCTCTCTGTTATTATTGTCCACAACTGTTCATCTAAGTTACCGTTGCTTATATTTTCATAACAGTATATTACTTTACTTTAAGTTTTTCAGTACTGATGCCACTGGTATTTCAGAGAGTTGGTATTTGTGTTGCATTAGCCAGCCCATTGTCCACCTCTCCCACTTTAGGTTCAGGATCACATTTCCGTTACAGTTACTGTTCTTTACATGTTTACAAATTACATTGTAAGGTTTGCCAAACAAGTTCTCCTAAACATCAAGAAGACAAAAGGTTTAGAGTCACACAAGTTGTTGCTTTTTGCCAGCTGCCTGTTTCAAACATATTTTAGCCTCTCAGATTCGGAGTCTACCCTCTAAATTGGCTAATTTTCAACAAAAATGTCAGATAGTTATTTTAGGTTGATAACAAAGATGATATTTATAAAATAAGAATCCTATACACGATTCTATCCAGATAAAGGTGATATTTCATCTGAATGTGTTTTATCACCAAAAAGCAAGGAAACGGGCAAATTCGAGCACTGCCTGCAGTACAACTACACCTACAGTAAGGTGGCAGCATTGGGATATGAGGGAGCTGTGAATGCTGGTTTAGTACCACTGCCAAACAACACTCCAATGGTATCTTGTGCCTCCAGGGATTTCAACCTCACTCAGTATGAATCAACTTTGACAATAGAGGTAAGGATGCTAACTATGGTCTACCTGTGTGTGCCATCTGTAGTATGTGAACAAAATCTTAAGTTTGTATACTGCATACACTACCTTCTCATAAAAATCCACCTCACTTACAAATATTCATACCAGAAGAATGGCGTACATCCATGCTCGTTCAATGACACATGGCGCTAGGCCTCTATGATTAACTAACCTAACCTCGCTCAAGGTACAATTTAGAGAATCGTAATAGCATACCAATGTCTCAGCTGTGAGGTAGATGTGGCAACAGCTCAGGATATGTGATTAGGAGGTTCAGGATGCATGAGTGAGAGGTTCAGGATGTGTGAGTGGGAGGTTCAGGATGTGAGTGGGAGGTTCAGGATGTGAGTGGGAGGTTCAGGATGTGAATTGGAGGTTCAGGATGTGTGAGTGAGAGGTTCAGGATATGAGTGAGAGGTTCAGGATGTGAGTGAGAGGTTCAGGATGCGAGTGGGAGGTTCAGGATGTGAATGGGAGGTTCAGGATGTGTGAGTGGGAGGTTCAGGATGTGAGTGAGAGGTTCAGGATGTGAGTGAGAGGTTCAGGATGTGAGTGGGAGGTTCAGGATGTGTGAGTGAGAGGTTCAGGATGAGAGTGGGAGGTTCAGGATGTGTGAGTGAGAGGTTCAGGAAGTGAGTGGGAGGTTCAAGATGTGAGTGGGAGATTCAGGAAGTGAGTGGGAGGTTCAGGATGTGAGTGGGAGGTTCAGGATGTGAGTGGGAGGTTCAGGATGTGAGTGGGAGGTTCAGGAGGTGAGTGGGAGGTTCAGAATGTGTGTGGAAGGTTCAGGATGCACGAGTGAGAGATTCAAGGATGTCAACGACAGGAGAGGGATATGAAGAAAGAACAATTAAAGTGAAGGACACAGCAGCTGAGAGAGGAGATGGATCTACACAATTAATTCAGATGGTGCAGGGAACAGTGGCGTCAAAATGAATTAACACATGTTTACTATGTTTTAGGTAAGGGATTTTAAGACTGGGTCACATTAAGTTTTAGAAGAGGATTGATTCAACCATTTTTCTGTATTAAAGTAAGAGAATTTGATAAAAAAACTACATTAGGCAAAATAATCGGATATATTAATTGTTGAGTACACGTATTCATGTCAAGTTAATTAAGTTTCCTCCTCACAGCTATCAGGCATGACTGCAATCCATTATCTGATCTGGTGACTAGCGAGAGAAAAGTCACTGTAAAGACAAACATGGTGCAAAAGAGAAAAATGAAATGCTACTTTTTTCCTTGTGTGCCTTTGTTATGAGTCATACTTACTCCTTTTAGCACCAAGCAAGTATAAACAATACACGACCCGGCCATCACTTACCCGGTACACTTTTTTTTTTATAGAATATTCTTAATCTGTGGTAATAAAATATTGCCTTTTTGAACACTTCTATAAATTAATTAAAAATGCACTATCATTAACCACTACATCAACCATAAAGGATCCATTCACCATAAATATGTAGTCACCCAAAAAACTATCTATACAAAACTGTGTTGAAAAGATATGACACAACAGATGAAGGATTTTGGCAACCCTACAGAGACAACAGGAGTCACAGTGTTCATTCTGGAATTCATCGATCACCCCAAGTAGAGATAGTTTTTTGAATGGCTGTATCTGTATATTGAACATTTTTCTTTGTTCTTGATAAAATTTCAGCGTCTAGAAACTTATTTCGTTTTCATTAACTCCCTCGTCGCTCTGTGCCTGTGTGGTGACTGTGGTGCTACTTGTGGTGATTGTGATGCCCCTGACGTTCGTGGGTTAACAGTGGGACCTGGTGTGTGAGCGTCGGGTACTGTATTCTACCACCCAGGCAGCAGTACAGGTCGGCAAATTAGTTGGTTATCTCTTCCACGGCTTCCTCCTCGACAGGTAAGTTATCCAAGAAGTTCTCAGGTCGGTTATCCAGGAAGTTCTCAGGTAAATTATCCAGGAAGTTCTCAGGTAAATTATCCAGGAAGTTCCCAGGTAAATTATCCAGGAAGTTCTCAGGTAGATTATCCACGAAGTTCTCTAAGAAGTTATTAGGTATATTACCCAGGCAGTCAGCAGCAGTTCAGTAAAGTACCGTAAATTATAAAATGCTCAGTTAACTAGACCATCATGTACCAGTATCTGTAGATGTTAATCCTTGGTACAATACTGTACCTAACTATTGTATTATTTAGTATATCAAGAATTGGTCACAGCTGCGTGTGAGGTTGGTCATTTATTGGGAACATTCCCACTGTAGTCATTCATGAAAGGCGGTCATTAGCCTGACTACCACAAACAAAACTGCAACTTATACTGTACAGTACAGTACTGTATATGGTACTTATTGGAGTGTGCGTGTGGTAGGTACGGTCGACGGCCCGTGGTGTTATGGTCAGCACTGTTCACTGTTGTGGCGGGCTTCCTGGCTGCCAGCTCTCCCAACGTGGAACTCTACATCTGTCTGTTGATTGTCATTTTATGCATGACATCCGGCTGTTACCTGGGCTGCTTTATCCTCCGTGAGTTGACAAGAATGTTGGTAGTGAAAGATCCTGTAGTGTAGCTGTTCATCTGTTGCTCTTCAGCATAAACAAAACTCTATCTATTGTTTTGTCCTAATCCCTACTAAGAGATATTGTTTAATTATTATATTCTTATTTATTTTTATATTTTTTGCTTTTACTCTAATTTTATCCTATTCACCACTGGTCGGGTAGTCCTTCATTTATGTTACACACTGTTGGCGAGTATTGGGCATGTACTGAATGTACTGTACCTGAGTAAAAGATGTATCAGTGCTAGTGAAGTCTGGTCATGTAACCTTCTCTGGCGTGTTATTTGTTGATATAATTACAGCACTGCTATACGCTGTATTTGACTATCTTTATATTAACTGCACAACTATACCGCATGTACTGTACCATTATCCTCTACAATGGAACACTCTCTGTGAGCTGTTTTCTGTCCTGGTGGGGGCAGAGATGGAGACATGCTCGACGAAGGAGCGCTCTATGGTGGGGACGCTCTTCGTGGTGCCATGGGCGCTAGGCTACATGGTGGTGCCGGGCATCGCCTATCTAGTGAGAAGGTGGCGGGAACTTCAGGCAGTTGTCACCGTCCCCGCCCTCGTCTTCATCGCCCACTATTGGTGAGTTCTAAATTCATCAAATGACTCCGTGACTCAAAACCTTTTCAATGAGTCATGTTATGACTTTAGGGGCTCGAGTTGTTGACTACCGAGTGAGTCATAAGACTTTGGAGTTGTATCATGTAAGACTTTAAATGATGGGAAGTCCTGTATGACCTTTAAAAGAGCTGTCAAGATCTTTAATAGAAGAAAATACTGTACATGGCAACTATACACCCGAATTATCTACGTGTGCTGTTTAAAACATGACATATATTTCTATTTTCTAAACGCTTGATGATTTAAGCATGATCAATCTAACAAATGTACTGCCCTCTGGCGACATCATAATGAAAACCGGTAGCAAGCTTTTTTTTTTTTTTTTTTAATAAATTCGCCACTTATCAGCTTACTAGCCATTTAGGTGGTTGGTGTATCAGGTGTTAGTACAGGAGGAAACTGAAGTACCTGTAGGAAACCTGTGATGTGTGGTAGTGAGGGTCACACTGGATAACACCCTTCTCACATGTGTCCGGGAAGAGGCTCGAACCCTTGACATATTGGTGAGAGATACACGTTACTGCTATACCACCAACACTAGCTACTAGGAAGTGGGGAGAGTGTAGGAGGAGGAAGTGAGGGGAAGTGTGGAGAGTGAGGAGAGTGTGGAGGTGAGAGAGTGTGGAGAGTGAGGGTGGGAGGTGAGGGAGAGAGTGTGGGGAGGGAGGTGAGGAGTGTGGAGGGGAGGTGTGGAGGAGAGTGAGAGTGTGGGGGGAGAGTGAGGTGTGGGGAGAGTGGGGGAGAGTGTGGGGGAGGGTGAGGGTGTGGAGGGAGGGGGTGAGGAGGTGTGGAGGTGGGGGAGGTGTGGAGGGAGGGGGAGGTGAGGGGAGGTGGGGAGGTGTGGAGGGGGAGGTGTGGGGCGGGGGAAGTGAGGAGGTGGGGAGAGTGAGGAGGTGTGGAGGGAGAGTGAGGAGGTGTGGAGGGAGGATGAGGGGGGAGGTGTGGGAGAGTGAGGTGTGGGGGAGAGTGAGGAGGTGTGGAGGTGAGGTGTGGAGAGAGAGTGGGGTGTGGGGCAGGGGGGTGGGGGTGTGGAGGTGAGGGGATGGATCGGCAGCTTGTGCATTCTCTCTTGACACGTTTTGATGAACCCGACACAGAATCCTAACACTATCCATAAACAAGCTGGAACGTACCATCATAGTTAGTGTTGTCTCTCAAATCTCACTCATCTATCAATGAATTACCATTTTTATCTTGGTGATTTCCTGTTAACCTCCGTTGCTTCCTTCTCCTCCTACAGGTTGCTGCCAGTCCTCGCTGGCTCATTATGCGAGGTCAATAACACTCAAGGTCTTCCACTGGGCTTCAAAATCAACCGCAAGACCCTGCCCCCTGACCACGTCCTTTTGGCTGCCATGAAGAAGATAAGAAGTTTGGTAGGTGTTGTCTGTCCCGGTCTGCTCTTCTTGCTGTAATGTTGGTGGTACAGCGGTAACACACACGTTTCTCACCGCTTGGAGCCAAATTCTGGAACAGGGTGGCAATATCGACAATACAGTATATATACCTAGATTTTGCCAAGGCTTTTGACAGTGTACCCCATGATAAGCTGAGAATTAAACTGAAAGGGCAGGATTCAGGGAAGTGTCCTAGCGTGGATCAGAGACTTTTTGCATGATCACAAGCAGTGTGTGGTGATTAATGGCATGAAACATCATGTGTATCCATGACAAGCAGGGTACCACAAGGCAGTGTATTGAGCCAGTTATTGTTTGTTTGTTTCATAAATGACATGCCAGAAGCTATACACACTTCCATACAAATGGTTGTGGACGATGCCTAGTTATTTAGGGAAATTAAGAACATGACAGATTGTGAAGAGTTACAGAAAGATCTCTGTGAGCTTCAAGAATGGTCGAAAAATGACTGTTAAGATTCAATGTGACTAAGTGTAAGAGGATGCACCTGAGTCATACCAACGTTAAGAGTATCACATCTCCCAATGGGACGAAGAAACTGCATTAATAGAGACTGAATGTGAAAAGGACCTGGGTGTGTATGTTGACAATGAACTGAAGTTCTCAGGCCATTGTGAGAAGAAGGTGAATCAAGCAACTAAATTATTTGGTCTTATAAGGTCGTTCAGATATCTAGACAGTCCGTCCCTTGTAACGATCTTCAAGAGTGAGGTGCTTCCCTGCCTGGAGTACTATTACCCCGTCTGGTCCCTGAGATATGCTAAGGACTGTCAGTTGATTGAAAATGTCCAAAGGAGTGCCACCAGACTGGTGCCTGCACCTCGACACCTCAGCTATCCAGAGAGATTAGAGCGCCTGCAACTGCCTAGCTTATACTACAGATGGGCGAGGGGTGACCTAATTGAAGCGTATAAACATCTCAAAGGGCACTACTCAGTTGTGTGTCCTTACCTGGAGCTGGCAGGCGGCTTCCCCACAAGGGATCACAGCTCACGGTTGAAGCCACAAGTCCGGAAAACTGTGAGGGCAAACTTTTTTGGAGTGAGAATTGTGAACACTTGGATCAACCTGCCAGAGAGTGTTGTGAAGGCATTGAGTGTGAGCTGTTTCAAGACCGGACTTGACCAACACTGGAGCAGGTTCGGGTACATTCAGGACCCAGTGCGCCGCAGTACTTGCCAACAGTGCGTAACAGAGACGTGACCGACTGCCTAAGCAGCTAACGAGCCGATCAGTGCCGAAAAGGATAAAAGTAATAAGTAAAAGTATTATGTCAAGTGTTGGAGTCCAGCTTGGTCCGGACACATGTGAGTACATAAGAACATAAGAAATAAGAAAATAAGGAGTCTGCAATAGGCCGGTTGGCCTGTGCATGGCAGCTCCTGTCGAGAGTTACTACCACTCTCTATCATCCATGAATCTATCCAGCCTCCTTTTGAAACTTTCCAGCTTTCCAGCATACTACAAAGTTGCTAAGCTTTTCCACTCGTCCACCACCTATTTGTAAACCAGTTCCTTCCTATCCCTCCTAAACCTAAACTTATCAACTAAATCCGTTGTTTATCTGCTCGGATATTATAAGAACTTTATCTATATCTATATGTCATCCGGTGTCACTCTCACTACCAAACATGGCAGGTTTCCCGGACAGCCGGACAGGTAGTAAGCTGATAAGTGGTGGGGAAATAAATGTCAACCCTGATAGGAGCCAATATTAACATATTAGAAGTAGAATTTCTTGAAAGGACTTACATAGAATACTGACTGTATATAAATTTCCAGGGGCAAACCTAAGAACTCGATGTCCTCATCACTGGACATTTAGGGACATCAACTCAGATCAGAAGATAGACTCACCTGAAATGATAAGGCACATTCCTATTTTACTGAATATTATAGTGGGATAATAACAACATTGTAAAAGTTGGTCACCTGTCTAACTATACAACCTGGAAAGAAGCATCAATAATTATAGCAACAAGACCTGATAGTTTTCACAAGGTACAGTACTTTAATGGGACCACTGTACCAGGATTTACAAGACTGGGACTCAAGGGTCCTAAGCTATCTTTTCAAGCTTCTGTGCACATTTTTATAGCTCCACTCACAAATTTAAGTTCAGACTAAAAAATCTTCACTGAACCTACAAATCCCTTTACATACTCCTCTAACCATACAGTACAACATGTTGTATTCACATAAAACCTCAGTGTTTGTGCTCAGTGAAGTTTGTTTATTTTTAAAGTTCATGAGCTAAAACAAATATCTTCAGTTAATAAAAAAAAATATTCTAGCACTATCTGTCAATCAAAGTACCACCTTGCCTCTTTCCAACCGCGGTCAGTCCCAACCTCCCCCACCCCCATCAATCCTCCCTTCAATAGATGTTGGGTGAAAATTTAGATTTTAACATTTTGTATTAAATACCTCAGATTAAAGTTAGGATAATATAATTGACATTGCTGGATTCCTTGTAAGACCAGGAATATTTTGAATATAAACGTTATATATTTTGCCAAAAGATAACATACTTACTCAGATTAAACATTTTATCTAAAAATTTTATGTCTAATGCAAAATATATGATGTTTATATTCAAAATGATCACGAAATTGTAAAATTCCAGCAATGAAAATTATATTCTGGCCGGGTAATTTGTATGAATTTTATGAGCTAAAATAAAAATCTTCAGTTAATAAAAAAAATTTTCACACGTAACAGATGGTCGGCCCCCCCACCCCCCCACCAACGTTCCTACTAGATAAATGTAGGGAATACCAGACTGTTTACCTTTTTAGTAATAAATAATAAATCAGACTAAAGTTAGGATAATATAATTGACATTGCTGGATTCCTTGTACCAGAATATTTGAATATAAATATCATATATTTTGCACAAAAGATAACATATTTACTCAAGAGTAAACATTATATCTAAAATTTGTATGTCTAATGCAAAATCTATGATGTTTATATTCAAAATGATCATCAAATTGTAAGAATTCCAGCAATGTAAATTATATTCTGCCGGATAATTTGTATGAATTTTATGAGCTAAATTAAAAAATTATACTTCACAGAATGAGAATCACAGAATGGGAAATGGGGACTGTAATATGAGGGTTGACATATATATATATATATATATATATATATATATATATATATATATATATATATATATATATATATATATATATATATATATATATATATATATATATATATATATATATATTGTGTGTTATATATATATATATATATATATATATACAGTCACCTCACATTACGCTGTCCCATGATCAGCTGTTCACCGTTAAGCGTGCCCTGCCGGCTCAACATGCTCATCGTCGTGAATCCATTAGGAGGCGGCTAAGCCGCCATTTTGATCCAAACCTCCCGCCATCCGCCATGTTGTGTAAGAGGCGCGAAAAATGGTGCGCACAAGGTCGCCATAGTCATCAAAACATTACCAGTTCTTCACCCGCCACCCACTACAGCCGCCCGTCAGTGATAGTGATAATTATAGTGAGGATATGGACTTATATGAACTTTGGGGTTTGACAAAGAGGCCCTGCAAGCCTCTGGTGGATAGTGATACAATTGATACAAGTGGTACAGGTGAGGGCCAATAATCTGCCCTCTGCCTCGGAACCAACGCCCATCCCGTGTGCCCAGCCATCTTTTCTACTAATGTAAGTGTTAAAAACCTAATATTATTGATATTTCTCTTAATTATTAATTGTGTGTGCATGCCATCATAAAGTTAAGATAATATTTTTACTACAAATAGTTGTGTTGGTCAAAAGTGGAGTTTGGGGATCGGCCTGGACTCCATTTCAATTAATCCCATATGTTATGTTGTTCACTTTCTGCGTTCCTCACTTTCATGGTGCCCTCCGGTTACATTAACAGCGTAATGTGGACCCAACTGTATATATTTCTATATATATAATAGATAATAGATAATAGATTATATATATATATATATATATATATATATATATATATATATATATATATATATATATATATATATATATATACAG